AAAAAAAAAAAAAAAAAAAAAAAAAAAGCGTAACTACATGACAAAGTCTAAATTTGATGAATAATGCAAGCCATTTGTTTGTTTTTAATTCCTCAGTCTGAGGTGACTTTAAATTCAAACTGGTCAGCCCGGCCTGGTGGTGCACACCTATAATCCCAGCACTTGGGAGTCTGAGGCAGGAGGATCACTGCGAGTTTGAGACCAGTCTGGACTACATAGTGAGTTCCAGGTCAGTCTCAGCTACATAGTGAGACCCGGTCTCAAAAAAAAAAACCACACACACACACAAAAGAAAAGAAAAAAAATTCAAACTGGTCATGTCACAGCTAAATCTAAGTAAATGCTCTTCTCAACAAAGTTCAACTATCACAAAGTATAGGTCACAGAAAAAGCAAAATTATTTTCAGAGATCCAAAATGAATCTCTCCTAGCCTCTTCTGCTAATAATTCAGAGAGTAAAATAGTACTTTTCTTCCTGAAAACCTATATGCTTAAAGCCTGCCTGTTCCTAACCAACCACAGGCAACCACCCTTCTCATCAACAGACTGCAGAGGCCAGCACTGCCCCCTTCTCACAGATTTCCAAAACTAGTTCCTCCCTGAGAGTTAGATAATTTGTTTCAACCTGATGTCCTATTCTACTGGCTAAAGACAAACATATTCCTTGCAGAAACTATATAATAGCCATTATGTAACAAACAAGCCACAGCCTGTAATCAAATGAGTCTCTTCTGAAATGGTTTTAAGAGCTGTCCATGCAGCGTTTAACACCAAGTGGTCTTAAAGTTATCCATGCTGACACCTTGTATTAGACAATGTATTTGCACCAATCAGCAAAAACAGCACAGTGCCCTGGTTTTAAAGGGAGCAAGTGGACAACTTAGTTCTAAAAATGTGAAAGACAGATTGGGCATTCAAAATACACCTTAAATGTCAAATAAAAGTGGCTGGAGTGTAGCTTATGGAAGAATCCTTGCCTAGCATGTATGAAGCCCTGGGTCCCATCCCCATTGACACAGGCAAAAGCAAGATGGGGAAGGTGGGGGAAGGGAGGAAGAGGAGAAGAACATACATGATACAGATTTGGGCTGGCAGTTTAGCTCATGCTAAGTACTGCACATACCTTAGCAAGCTCAAGCCCTTCATTCAAAGCCCTGAACCAGAATAAAAGAATTGATAAATTATTTGGAAATTTGTAAGTTCTAATCAAGGACAACCCAAAATGATTAAAACTCATAAATTTATAATAAAAAACTAATAAAAAATTAATTTAAAACATATAAAGAAAACTCTTCAACAGAGGTGGGCAAACACCTTGAAGCCAAAGCCAAGATAGTTAAGAGAAGAAATACAAAGGCCTTATAAAAGAGAGGCTAGCAGTCCTTAGTGCCTACAGGAATGCAAATCCATAATGAGCTATTATTTTTACCCATGATTAATGAACACTTAAATCTTTAAATACAGCCTGGTAAACAGGGTGTGGTGGCACATATATATAATCCCAGTGCTCAGGAAGCTGAGGCAGGAAGATTGCCATAAGTTTGAGGCCAGTCTGGGGTACACAGTGAGTTCAAGCCCAGCTTGAGTTATGTTGGGTGACCCTGTCTCAAAAAACAAAATACAAAACAGGCCAACCGTGGTGGTGCACTCCTGTAATCCCAGCACTCGGGAGGCTGAAGCAGGAGGATCGCTGTGAGTTCGAGACCAGCCTGGGCTACATAGTGAGTTCCAGGTCAGTCTGAACTACATAGTGCGACCCTGTCTCAAAAATTTCCCCCCCCAAAAAAAAACGTGAAAAGCAAAGCAATGTGGTATCCTAGATTAGATTCTAAACAGAAAAAAAGATTATTACTGGAAAATGGGTGAAATCTATATAATGCTGAACTTTAATTAATTTGGCATACAAGTATTAATCCCTCAGTTTTGACAAATGGATCAATGCTATACAAGATGTTAAACTAGAGCAGTGAAAGCAAACCTTTTAGAGCTTTGAATGACACAAACAGCTCGCTACAGCATACACGCTATAGGTTCGCCACCACTGCACTAGAGGTAACAGGGTAAGAGCGCATACGAACTCTTTAATTTTTGCAACTCTTGTAGATCCAGAATTATCCCAAAATATCATTGGTAGTATAGTGGTGAGCACAGCTGCCTTCCAAAATTATCCCAAAGTTAGTTAATAAGTTAGTTGGTACTGGGCCTAGTGTATGCCAGGCAAGTGCTCTAACACTGCACTATTTCCCCAGCCATTTTTACTCTTTCTTTTCTTTTCTTTTTTTGGTTTCATCTTTTGTTTTTGAACAGGGTCTCACTATGTAGCTCAGGCTGTCCTCAAACTCACAGCGATCCTTCTGTCTCAGTCTCCCGAGTACTGGGATTATACAGGTGCACACCATGCCTGCCTTTATTTTTATTTTGAGTCAGGATCTTGCTAAGTTGCCTAGGCAGACCCTTTGGTTCTGAGGCAGGAGGATTACTGTAAATTGGAGGCCAGCCTGGGCTACATGATGAATTCAAGGTTAGCCTGAACTACTCAGCCAGACCCTATCTACAAAAAAAAAGTTAGCTATGTAAGGTGTGGTGATGCACACCTGCAACCCCAGTTACTCAGAGTGAAGAATAATTACAAGTTCTAGCCCAGCTTGGGCAACTTAGCAAGTTCTTGCCTCAAAATACAAAATAAGGGCCGGGGATATAGCTCAGTGAAAGAGTGCTTACCTAATATGCACTAGGTGCTGGGATCAGTGCCCATTATCACACACCCAAAAAAGCTGTTAATTGTGTGAGCTGGGTAGGTGACTCTGTGACTGACTGCTTGACTGCATGTATAAGGATCTGAGTTCAATCTTCAACACTGCCCTCCTACTTCCTGAGGCTAGATAATAGGTGCTAATTTTATCACTCTTCACCTCTTAGTTACTTATATATTTGTTAGTATTAAACATTTCATAAATTAAAAACTTTAAAAGTACCACATATTGCCAGGCATGGTGGTATACGCCTGTAATTCTAGCACTCGGGAGGCTGAGGCAGAAGGATTACCATGAGTTCAAGGCCAGTCTAAACTACACAGTGAGACTCTGTCTCCAAAGAGGGGAAAAGAGGGAGAGGGAGAGAAAGTACAACATATCAATTTACTACAGGTAAAGTCTTTGTAGTTTAAACTGTATGAACGTCCTTTCCATTGCTTGTCATCCAATGCTGATGTAAATTCACACTGTTAAAACAATGGGCTTAATCTCTTTAAGGAGAATATACAGCAATTCATACCCAGCCACCTTGCTGAATGATGTATTCTGCTGCATGGTCCTCCAAATACGTCACGCCAAACTGCAGCAGTGCACTCAAAGGCTCTTGACCACGTCTTGTCAACTCCAAAAGCATCTGTCGTAGCAAAATCAGAGGCACCAAAATCTTCCATGTAAAGATGAGAGGAAAAAAAACTGAAATTCTTATAATGCATTTTATATGTTCAACTACTGGAAAATTATATTTAGAAGCATCATTAAGTATTTTACTCTCATAATAAAACACTAACTCCTATTAAGACTCTTCTGAATCTTGAATGTAGGTTTCATACAAGGACAGTAGAGTTTTATGAAAGTTAACTGAGCATGTGTGTCAAATAATACACACCTATAAGGATATTCAAAGTAACATTATTTACAATAACAAGAGACTAGAAACAACTCAATAAGGACTAGTTTAATAAATTCTGACCATCCAGTAAGATAAGCTGTTAAAAAGATTTAGTGTTCACTACCATCACCACAAGTTATTTTACATGAAAAAAGCAAGATAAAGGAGAGTGCACAATTCCATTTGAAGTAAAACAAAACCAAACGTACAAGCATACATGACCCTACAGCATCTCTGAAAACAACTGTACAAGAAATTGCTGATAGCAGTTACCTGAGAGGATGGAATTAGGTGCCTGACAACATAGGTGAGAGAAAAATTTTATTTCCCTGTACCAGGGATCAAACTTATGACCTTGCACTTGCAAGGCAGATGCGGCACCACTGAGCTAAATCCCTGGCCCCAGAAACAACAACAACAACAACAACAACAACATCATCATCATCAACATCATCATCATCATCATCAACATCATCATCATGGTACCAGGGATTGAACTTGAGACCTTGCACTTACTCTTTTTTTGTGTTTTTTTGTTTGTGTTTTTTTGGTACCAGTGATCAAACTCAGGTCCTTGCACTTGCCAGGCAGGCAGAGGAAACACTGAGCTAAATCCCTGGCCCAGGGACCTTGCACTTCCGAGACAGGAGGTAGCACCACTGAGCTAAATCCCCACCCCAAAAACTTATTTTTGATTCACGTCTTTCTGTACCTCCAGTACGTTATACTACATCTTTTATTATCTGTTTGAAAATATTTTTTTTTT